TTCTCTCTCTTTATCTAAGCTCTTAAGAAATATCCAATGCTAGCTGCACCTTCTATTCTAATTCTTTCTTAAGTTTAGGTATTCCTGCATAAATATCTTATAATTTAGTTTTGTACTCTACTAAACCTTTGGTGTTCTTTTCAAAATTATCCTTATTTTTAGAGAATTCCTGAGCTATCACATGTCTCTTCTTCATTATCTCAGCTAGTTCACCTAATATCTTCTGGATTTGATGTAAAAGTTTCCCTTAAAAGTTCCATTATGTTTCATAATGCTGCATTTTCATAATTTAATTAATCTACTTTTTCTTCTTGCCTTACCTTGTTATGTTCAGGTATAGTCATTCTTTCTGCCCAACCACTTGTTTTGTTATCTGCAGGTTTATAAGAATAACTGTGCTCAGAGCATGTACACTCCGCCATATTGTCAACAAAAGCACTACTGTGCTGTTGTGCTACTCTGTTTTTAATATATTTAATAAGGAATTCTTAACCCTGAAAAATTTTCCATAGTAATAATTTCCTTCTGGTTTTGGAGAAGTCACTCATAAAATGCTCTATTCCCTTCATTACTAAACAGAACGCTATTTTCAGGTTTGGCAGATGCCTGTATGCTGCAGCAGTTATCTGGTTGTGAGGCTCAGGAGATGTGCTCGGAATTATACTTATCCAAAGATCCTTTTCCATGAGTGATGTTTGTAGTCATTGGTCACCTAGCCTGTACTCTGTCTGCGGTCTTTTTCCCCTCCCCCGATCCTCATGACTTTGCATTTGGCGGGGTTGAATTCAGTGAGGCATTTGCTGGACCAAGCTTACAGCCTGTCCAGGTCTATTTGTAGTCCTGCCTGATCCTCATCCGATTTAATTCTCTTCATTAACTTCACATCATCTGCATACAGGGACACTTCTGAGCCTAACCCTTCTGTCATGTCGTTCACATGCACCAAAAACAGCACTAGTCCTAGGAATGACCCCTGTGAAACCCCGCTCGTCAAATGCGCCCACTCTGACACCTCGCCATGTACCATGGCTCGTTGTTGCCTCCCTGTCAGGTATACCCTGATCCAGTGCGGTGCCCTTGCTGTTATACGTGCCTGGTCCTCCAGTTTTTGCACTAATCTCTTGTGAGGAACTGTGCCAAAGGCCTTCTTGCAGTCCTAGATATGCAGTCAACCGACCCTTCTCTCTCTTGTGTCTTCCGTTTTTTTTGTCATAAAACTCCAGTAGGTTTGTTGCATAAGATTTTCCTTCACTGAATCCGTGCTGCTTTTAGTTCATAAGCTTGTTCCGTTCTAGGTGCTCCACCACTCTCCAGATAATCTTCGCCATGACTTTGCATACTATACACATCAGTGGCACTGGTCTATTGTTTAGTACCTCATGTCTGTCTCCTTAAAAATAGGGACTACATTTGCCATCTTTCATATCTCAGGTAGTTGCCCAGTTTTAATGGATGTATTGAAAATTGTTGTTAGTGACACACACAGCGTCTCTGCTCCCTTTCTAAGGACCCACCTTGATACCTCTTTGAGGTATCAAGTCCACTTAGCAGCTCCTTCACCTCCTCCTCGGTTGTCTGTATTTCATGCAGCAATTGTTGGTATATCCCTCATTGGTGTACCTCCTTCTGACTTCCAGGAGGCGTTTCTGTCTCCACTGTAAATACTTCCTTAAATCTCATGATGAGCTTCTCATATACTTCTTGGTCGTTTCTTGCAAGCTCCCTATCTTCCTTCCTTAGCCTGATTACCTGGTCCATGACTGTTGTCTTCCTCCTGATGTGGCTATACAACAGCGTCAGGTCAGACTTGACTTTCGATGTAAAGTCATTTTCATATCCAAGGGCCTCTATCCTTATCTGTGGCTCTTCGATTAATCTCTTTATTTTCCTAGGTCCTTCATCTTCTGTACTTTTCCATTCGCTAGCACACTTAGTTTTTTGTCTCTCTACACCTTTAGATAAATTAAGGGCTCGTTCTGGTCTTCCCATTATTTCTGTTGCCCTTGGGAACAAACCTCTCCTCTACCTCCTTACATTCTGTTGTCACATAGTCCATCATTTCATTTACTGATTTTCCTACCAATTTTCTTTCCCACTGAGCCTCTTACAGAAAGTTCCTCATGCCTGTGTAGTCCCCTCTTTTGAAGTTTTGTGTTTCCCATCCTACCCTTCTTACCCTCTCCACTTGTAACTCTCCTATGTATTCAAGGCTCAGAACCACGTGATCACTAGCTCCGAGGGGCCTTTCATATGTGATGTCTTTGATGTCCGAGGTACTCAGTGTGAAACGAGGTCCAGTCTTGCTGGTTCATCTTCACCTTTCTCTCTGGTAGTGCCCCTAACATGTTAATGAAAGAGGTTTTCCATTACCACACCCATCATCTTGGCTATGTTTCAGGGCCCCCATGTGGCTCCAGGTTTTCTCAGTCAATCTTCTTGTGATTGAAATCACCCATAACTAGTAGCTTTGCTCTATCTGTGTGAGCTCTTCTGGCCACCTCAGCTAGTGTGTCCACCATTGCTCTTTGGTGTTCTTCTCTTTGCCTCCTGCAGTTCTATGATGGATTGTACATCACTGCAATGACTACCTTATGTCCCCCAGACTGAACTGCATCTAGTTTGTAGTCTCTTTCGCCCATTTCGTCCATTTCTTCCATTTCCTCAAATCCCCATTGATTTTTAATGAGCAGTACAACTCCTCCTCCCCCTCTGCTCCCTCAATCGTTCTTCAGGATCTGATATCCAGGTGGGAAGATTGCATCTGTTATCAACCTGGTGAGTTTCGTTTCTGTGAGTGCTATACTCTTTCATGTCACTCCTTACATTTATTTGATTTCCATCTGCATTTGTATTTCAAACCTTCAACTTCTTTTCTAAAACTGTGGTCTGGGGAGAACACTGGGGCTGGGGGAGCGGGAGATCTGGCAGGAATTATGGGGGGTTGCTTTGGGGGTGGAGCTTGTGATGAGAAGGCATGGGGAAGTGGGTACAGTGTGTGGGTTTTAGGTTAGATTGTTTGGTTGCATTTGGATTGTCGTGGTTGAGGGCCTTCTGTAGGTGGTCTAAAGGAGGTTATAGTTGCTCTTCCTTCTGAGTCTGGGTTCTCCTGCTCGTCTCTGTCTTTTCCTCTCTCAGTTTCTGCCTTTCCTCTCGTGTGCTGTCACGGTCGAGGTACACCCTCCGGTATATGGGTATGTCCCTTAGTTGTGCTTTCTCCTGCAGGATCCTGTTTCGAGCCGATTCCGCCTTGAAAATTACTTTGACTAACCAGGATTTTCCTCTACCAAACTCCCCTATTCTCAGAATATTTGTAAACTGGATCATGTCATCCTCTCCTATTGTTTTCATGATACTTTCAATTGCTTTTTTTCTACCCCTGTCTTCTTGCTTCATAAGTTTCCCCTTCAGCTTCCTGGAGCCTATAAACAAAAACTGACCTCTCACTTACGTCCTCCCACTGCATTTTCCTTTACATCCCCTGAGTCAATTTAGTTGCCTCCATTGCAGCGTTTCATACTTCAGTCTTTTCCCTATCTGATGTCCCTGTGCTCAGCGGTTTGTCATTTTCCTTTCTCAGCTTTTCCTGACCATTGCTGTGGTCTGTTAGGGCCTCTGCATATAGCTTAATTCTTTCAGTTTCTTCAGTCCCCTCGTTTGTTTTTTTCTTGATGTGTGTGTGTGTGTGTGTGTGTGTGTGTGTGTGTGTGTGTGTGTGTGTGTGTGTGTGTGTGTGTGTGTGTGTGTGTGTGTGTGTGTGTTTAGTGTGTCTGTCTGCCTTTGAGAAGGAGAGGGAGGGTCACTTAATGTACGCTGGGCTCACAACTCTTGAACTTTTTTAGAATTATTTCTCACTGTATTTTTCTAATTAATTATATACTATCATTTACTATTATAATACTGGTGCACATGAGATATTTTTAAAAACACATAATACACTCAGCACTGTCCACGTAGTTGAAAATTAGTCACTCTCCGTAATACGGTAGGCTACACCACTCTTGTGAAGTTCTTTCCAATATCTCTCACTATATTCCTAATTTCTTTTATTTCAATAATTATTATTATTATATCATTTACTGATGCACATGAGATCTTTTAAAAACAACCATAGGTGCACTTAGCACTGCCCATGTTGATAAAATTTATATTATGCTAGGCTGCTGTTCCACTCTTTGGAAGTGTTTTTAAAATTGCTCCCACATATAGATAAGTATTCGGTGTTTGCAGTCACAGTGTAGTTGAAATCCTCGTGGTGTCTTCTGGTAATGTCGTACGATGTCTACATCACTTTTTATATTTTGCTTCTCTTATATATTCCAGTTTTTATCACTGAACCAGTCCCATTAATACCGAGGTATTCACACGTTTTTCCTTATTACTGCGGTCATAACCTGAAGTTTACGATATTATTTGTATTCACAAGTCAATTCAGGCAGCAACAACTGCCGGAAAATTTACTATTTTATTTTATCTTTCTTTCTTTACCAAATGACTCATTAATCACTTATTACGGCCATTACTGACCACATATTTGCACAGGTCACAACCGTGACCTGTTGTTAATAATAACTATTTGTTGCAATCACTTTTCGCAAAACACTGCCAGCGGTGCTAACCAGCCTCGATGTCCTCTCACTCAAGCTAACATTAAAAAACTCCCACATTAAAATTTAAGTTGTAATTTTTTTGATATTATCACACTTTTCAGACTCTGGAAACCTTGTTGTACTCTTGTAGGTATCTTCACTGACTCTGTTACGCACATTGACTGCTGCCAATATCCTAAGACCGCAACTAGAGCGCTGAATGCTAGAAGCACTGTTAAAGGATACTGTCTCGTATGTGTGTGTATGTGTGTGTTAAGTACATTGCATACAGTTGGATTACATGTTAGTCACTTACTTGAGACGGTGTGATTGAGGTGGATATCACTGCCGTCCTCCCTGCGCCACTTGATGGTGGGCACTGGAGAGCCTCGGGCACTGCAGGCCAGGGTCAGGTCCATGCCTTCTAGGAGACCCACGTCACGACTGCTCATCTCGTCCTTGATATAAGGTGGCACTGTGGATGCACGAGACGATCATTGATCATTGACGATCTTTTATCATTTTCACAACATGGTATATGGCACACTTACCATTCTGACACCATGCTGTGATGGAACAATGATCATTCTGACACCATGCTGTTATGGCACACTGATCATTCTCACACCTTTCTGTGGTGGCACACTGATTATTCTCACACCTTGCTATGGTAGCACATTGATTGATCATTCTCACACCCTTCTCTGGTAGCACACTGATTATTTTCACAATATTTTTGGTGGCACACTAATGATTCTCGCACCTTGCTATGTTGGCATACTACACATTGTCACACCCTCATAGTCCCTATCATACCTACTCCTAAATCTACGTATAGAGCCTACCTTCATCACTTCTACATCGAGGTAATTTCACTATCTGACCAAGATGAAAGTGAAGAAATGCTGACATCCATCTGTCTCATCAGTACCTTTAACTTCCAGCTGTGCTCTCAAGTACGTGTAACCTTCCACTCAAAAATCCTGTCTGTTTGTAATATCTCTTCTGAAGATTTTGAAAGTAATTTTTGTCTTCCCTGATTTTTCTTTTCTGCAAAACGAAGATTCAATGTCTTTACCCCTTAGATCGGAAACAAGCCTCGTATCATACCACTCTTCTTTCTCCTGTTTTTAACATGCTTTTACAGGTGTGGGTTCCATGCTAATGCTGCTACTCAAAGATGGGCCTGACATATGTTGTATAAAGCCCAAAGAATGACTGTGTTGATTCCAGAAAGCTACTCGTGTGTTTTACAGATAAAGGTTATTCGTTTGATCTAAATCTCTGGTGAAATATCAGGCACTATGCTTTCCCATAGGTCTTTCTCTTTGAGTGAGTTTTGAACCCTCTGTACCCCGAGTCAATATTTCCAGTTCATTGTTTTTGCCCTTCACCAATCTTCATAACATAAACATATTTGTAACTTTTCTTTGTCCTCATTTGTTTTCTTATTTTACCCTCTCGTTAATTTTACATCATCTGTAAACAGGGATAAATCGAACCTGACTCCATCTGGAATGTAATTCAGATAAATCAGCAACAGTTTTGATAATAATATAATCCCTTGCAAAACCCTGTTTGTTTATTTTCCCCCCCTCTCAAATCTCTTCCCGGCAATAACTTTTTCTTCCCTTCCCTTAGGTATTCCATGATCCTCTGGACTACATTCCCTGCATGCTCCTCAAGAATTTGCTTCATTCTCTTTTGAGGTACAACATCAAATGCCTTCTCTGAAGTGTAGAAAACTCATCTCTTAACATGTGTTAGTCATTCTTTATGAGAACCCTCTCTCCTACTGATTATGCATGAGTCATGTAAGTAAAACTCGCATGCAATTCAACGCTTCGTCTTTATCCCAATTATAAAATAAATGGAGTTCATTCGCAGTATTACAGATCTCTGGCACTTGTCCCATGTACATTGACCTGTTACTGATCTTACCTGGTAACTGATTCGGACAGTGATTGTGCTACGTCTCGCAAAAACCATGGTGACAAGTTGTTAGGTCCCATTACCTTTGACGTATGCAGTACCATCAATAGTTTCTATAACTCTTCTCCTGTTGAATGTATGGCGTCTAATGTCTGTCGGTGTAACATGTCCCCTAGGCATTCTCGTACTGCCCGTACTTGCACTGAGAATACATATTTAGGTCGCGTGTTCAGCATTTTCCAGACTTCCTTGTCGTTTCTTCAGTCAAATTGCCTTGTCTTTCAGTGTCGTCTTTCTTCTGATGAAGCAGTGAATCAACTGTAGTTTAGACATGGCCTTTGTTGTTATGTCATTCCCAAATAATCAACCAGAGTCTCTCTTCTCCCTTACAAAATCGTTTTTGGTTAATCTACTTGCTTCTATGTTCTCATCTTATGCTTTTCTTAAGAAAGTTTGGACTCTCTAGCTCTGGTTAAACCAAGGGCTATCCTTTATCTTTGTTGTTTATCCTGCTTCTGGTATGAAATTATCCTTTGTCTCTCGGCACTTCGTATTTAGGGTACTCCATCATTTAATCCGTTGACTTTCCTTCCAGTTCCCTTTTTCCAAAACATTACATTACAGGAATTCTCTCATCCTTTCGAAGTTCTTCTAAAGTCTGGGTTCTTTTGATATCCTGCAGGGAATATAGCATTTGATATTTTGGTGAACTTTGTCTCTGTGATAGCTACGATGCCTGGGAGAGCCTCTGCTAGTCGATTTTACAATTTGTCATTTATGTATGATAAACCACGTGAATCTCTGTGCCACACTCAGCTTTCTATCGCTTACCAAATAGTGGTTTGTGTTCTCTAGTCTTTCTGTAAGAGTGAAGGGAAATAGAGTTGAGTTTGATGCTCATAACTACCTGCGATAAGATGGTAGGCGGGGATAGGGAAGAGAAGGGTGAGGTGAAGGAATAGGAAAGAGCTGGGGGTTGTTT